TTTTTAGTTATTCTGATACCCTAGAAAAATTATAGTTTGTGACATTTATTTGGAAACTATGTATCATTACAATAATATACTAATCATATATTTATTGTATTTCAACCAATAAACAATTGAATTCCTGAAGTTCTTCGAATTGTTTGATGTTATTTCTTCAAAGAATAAATAAATAAACAAAATTGATTTTGCATAAGTTTAAATAGTACAATGAAATAGATTAAGTACAGTCAAACAAAGGCTGATCTTACTTATGTAATGTTGTTCAGATCAAAGTTGTGGCAATAATTTTTTTAATTACATTTCTTGTGTTGGTACGCGATCAATTTATTCACATATGCACTTGGATCCATATCATTAGGGTTATAATATTTTAGAATCAGTTACTCACTGTATAACACATTAATATTCAAAATGAAAAATACTAGTTTTAAGTCTTATTGTGAGTATCAACACTGGAGTGCAGATGCATTTAACTGGTAAACCCCAAGTAGAATAAAACGTATTTCCAGGTTCATATTGTTAGTCTTTGAATGCTAAAAAGTAAAATTTTACCCTAACATTTTACATACCTTGTTAATCATATTATAGATTTGTTGATCAGTGAATTTCGGTTACCACATATGACTTAAACACTGTATTGCTAGTGATTCGATTATTAACCTGTAATTTTCTTCCTATCGGAAAAGAAAAATTATTATTATTATTAGTGGCTTTATTTAATATTATATATTTGGTACAATATAGGATTTTCAACACAAACTATTTCAACAAGTTTCGACTTTGTTATAAACATTGAATGGTCTCCAGTTGGACATTAACAATTCAGAGATAGATATTTGATCAACGTATATTCATCACGATGCATACTGCCAGCAACTACGATGTCTGTGATCAGGCTTTTTTATAACTTGTTCAGTCAAATGTCGTAAAATTTTCACATACGCACCTGATTACTTTATGCGACTAATAGGTATAATGATGTGTTAAAACAAACAAGAAAACAGATAACTTGTTGAAATATTCATATGTCAGGAACAGGTAGCCCAGATTTTCAACCAGTCTGTCTTCTTTTTTTTGAGATCCATTGAGTCAATATGGCAACTTGGACTGATGTACATACGTACGAAGTTCTATGTTGTTACTAACTGACTGAACCAGTATTTTTCAATATTCAATTAAATGACTTATGAAAGATAACTTTCAATCAAGTCTAATTCATCCTTCAATGACTATATGTTCTAAAATACATTACATTTATTCATTTCAATATAATCATTGAGTTTATTCACATAATATGTCATATAATTTACCAAACTGTTTACATTTTCGTACATAGTTCTCCAATGGATAAACTTTTATCCAAACATTGATTTAAACAAATAAATCAACTTATTCTCTCTTGAGAAACGTTGTTTGTTTGTTTTTCTGGAAAAAATGTATCATCTATGTTTATCAATGATCGATCAACGAACTTCAAAGAATAATGTTTATAAAGTATATCCCAATACTATTCCTTGAATGAATGTTAGAATTTCAAATAATCCCATGTAATTTTCATTATTTCAATAAAGATAATGCTACTTATTAGAATGGATCAGATCCAAAATATTCTTGTCATTATGTTTTCAAGATCAAAGTATCATTATTCTGTGTTGTGGCTTGATCTATATATATATATATATATGGTAATGATAAAAGTGTAATTAATGGTTAGACAACTTATGATGTAATGAGAAATATTGAAATTGTTCATATGTAGAATTAGTTTTGAATTATTAGTAAACTGCCATTTTTTCTTTTATAAATTTACAGTCATTAACATTCACAGTAAACTATAGTTTCAATTACTTTATTGAATACTCAAAAATGTTTTTTTGTTGTTGTTGTTTGATACGGATTAATATGAGAATATCAGTTGTATGAGTTGATTTTATTTATAGAATTAATTCCACAGACAATGAAACACCTTAAACCAACTTGTATACAAGGTCTACTCAAAATGTTCTCATACACTTTTTTGTATTTTATATCAGTGATTATGCTCATAAATGTGATTGGTTAATTAGTACATAACTCTGATTGGTTGATTAAAGATTGAGTCAATTATTGATTAATTTTTCATTTAAATACATTTTTGAAAAAAGATATTATTGAAGAAATGAACAAAAATAAAGTAATGTACATCTAAAAAAAGATAATTAAGTTGATAAACTAGTTTAATATTATTACGAGTTACTTTCTATGTGTTATGGTATTCATCACAGATTGAGTAATTCATCAATTCCATATTCTTCTACTTTTTTCTTTTTCTTACAATGATTGTAGTTAAAAGTGATGAACATCAACTCGCTATGAGCATCAATATCCTACTTATTAAACATTCGTTTTATTATTCTAAATCCTAATATGACAAAAAATAACACTCCTAATTTTTACAAATACCTAACACATTGAAACATTAATTATTTAGGATTAATATCAGAAGGGGTTTTGTGGAGATTTTAGTAATTTCAATAGTTGAAATCATGAGTTAATTGAAGTTAGATCACCATGGAAAACCTGAAAGCACTGGACTCCTTCTGATAATAACCATCCGCTGACTAGTGACTCACTTCAAGAGACATTCCAGGAGTTCTAGTGAGAAGCCGTTACCAGTGGAATCTAACTAGGTCTGTTGTGTGATACCAGCTCACTGAAGACAATGATGTACGGTGGCGCAATTTCATGGATTGGTTTAAGTCAAACATTAACACCGTTGGATGCCCGCCAGCTCAGTGATCTCGCTCGTGAGCGAAACTGATAGGTCTTGGGTTCGAATCTCGCAGGGGGGGCAGGATCGTGGATGCGCACTGTTGAGGAGTCCCAAATAGGGCAAAACGGCCATCTAGTGCTTCCAGGTTTTCCATGGTGATCTAGCTTCAATCGGCTCATGATCTCAACTCTTGAAATTATTTAGGATTAATTTGAAACCTGTAATCCTATTTAATCACTCTCATATCTAGTGTGATTAACATTTTTTGTAACTACTGTGAATCGTTATCACCTAGTTTCACACTGGAAGTGAATCCAAATGTTGCGAAATCGGGATGTTTATACTGTTTAGTTACTAAATAGTTCTCAAAGACATAACCTTTTCAAACAAGATACAATGTATCAGGTTTCTTTCTATTTATTGGGTATCAAGCACAGGTATCCCACGACCAAACTTTTACTTGATTTAAAGAACTGAAGAGAAGCCATAACCTTAGTTGGCAACCAATTAAAAGTAAGACAGCTAATCATCTATAATATTAGACGAGGATTGTCCTTTATTGTAAATTAAAAAGATTAAAAGCTAAAATTCGAAACGTTGGCTGGTTAGTATAGTTAATACCATAAAATCTGAAGGCCAACGCTTTTATATTTTGTATAGCTATAAATTTACAGAAATGAAAAATCACAAATTAATAATAAGTAACTACTCAGTAATAGTTGGGCCTTCAGTAGTTCTTTGGTGTGATACTAATTTATGATGAAAGTTTTGTTTATTGGACAAGATCTTCAGTAAACTATCTGACTGAACCCAAAAATGTCTTAGTACTTTTATTTTACAATATACTAAATTCGTTTGTGACTATGACTATCAATATACTGAAATGAATTCCAATAGGGATGATAATTATTAAATAAGACGAAAAGTCATGTATTGATTTCCGTAACTAAGCTTAACTGAATATTAGTGTCTGTGTTTCGTTGAAACTAGATTAATCTATAAGTGGTATTATTCAAGGATCGATTTGCTTGGGATACCACTGAAAATCAGTTATGAGAACTCCGATTGACCTCCGATTGAACTGAGATTCTTACATTTATTGCAAAGTAAGTTAGAATCCAGCATCATTATTTCCTTCAAGTATTCAGATTTTCCTGCTCTACTGATGAATATCATCAAGCACAAAACATATATTCAGCATTTCCTGCTGACTATTTTCATGTAATGTTGAGTGACTAACAAACATATTATAATTTGAGTCATAGAATGAATAACATATTGGTTACTACTCAATGATTAATTAACATAATATAATCATTGTTTTCATCAAATTTATTCCAATAAATCATATGAGAAATCTTCCAGTCAACTTCTAATTGTTTCATTGGTCTAACAATCTATTTTTTTTAGTAGAAGTTGATCTTGTAAATTTTCTTTTTTTATTTACAGTATAACCATGATCTAAAATATTGGTTCATAAAACTGTTTATTTCCTTATTTCATATGATTCAGTTCATAAATACACAGAGTTTAAGTACAAAATAATAACTAGTGATAAAATTGGTTAGTAATGCTTTAGTACATAGGAAAAAAAACTGTATTTAATTTGTTTGTGAAAAATGGGCTCCAATTATTCAGCGCACGAACCTTATCCCTAATATATATATATATATATATATATATATATATATATATATATATATATATATATATATATATATATATATATATATATATATAATAGACATAATATCGTTCACAGTTTTTAAGCAATGTGTTTATATTAATTTACTTCAATGTATAATGTATAAACTTTTTTGATTAATTATAATACACTAGATACTGTCTAATAACTGGCTAATATTTAATTGTATGGCATCAAATAAGGTTCTATTAGCACTGTAAATGTACTTTGGTAGAAATATAATTACATTGCACATACAATACTGTATTTAATATGAGGGTTGAACAATAAAATATACACAAATAATAATAATATTAACTGTCCAATTAAATCAATTTGTGAATTTTGTGTTCCCTTTAAATAATTTTAATTGGTTATTAAATAAGAATATCGTGAATATTCCAATCAAAATTATTGAATATTGCACAAATTCTAAGGTATTAGATTTAAACAAATCATCACATCAATATTCTTATGAATAGTTTACACTTTTCTTACCCCTTCTATATTTTGTTCTGTCGGTTACGAATTATTATATATATACATAGGGGTATTGTGACTGAATGCACATATATGGATTATGTGTGCTTATTTTTAATGACTACTATTTTTAATAGTAATAATAAGTTGTAATTACAGCTGAACATATCATAATCTGCACACACATTCTATGATTTAACAAGGTACACAGAAGTAGTTGAAATTATTCAAACACTATAGAAAAGTTTTTTTTCTTCAGGAAAATTAATTTCATTGCAGTATAATTATCAGATATGGAATAATCCCTGTAGTAGTAATAGTACTGGTTATTGACTAATAATATAATAATAATCATATCCTTATTGTTGATAATATTTTTAACATGTCTGGAGACTATTTTTCGAGAACACCAGCTTTATTATACTCTTATGTTGATTCCGATTATAAAACATTTCAATTTAAAGTTGATCAGATCAATGATTCAGTAGCCCCAATGACAACATTCAATTCAAATAATCATAACCATAATAATAATTATACAAATCATTATCATCATGATTTTAATGATATATCAATGAAATATGGAACACAATCTATTTTTCAGGTACTTCCAAATAATCCTCGACATAATAATCCTTATCATCATCTTCATCAAATAGAACATCATCATCGTAATCAACAGGATTATTTGAATAATTCTTGTTCTTCTGGAACAACACATTTGACATTATTAAAATTAACTGGTACAACTACTGCTGCTAATACAACAATTACATCGACAAATAATGTTAAATGTTATAATATTCATGAATCTGATGATAATCATTTAAATAATTCAAATTTAAGACAGATTAATCTTAGTAAACAATCGAATGTGATTACATCATCTCATTATGATAATTCATCAACTGGTAATAATCATCTAACAAATGAATTATCCACTGAGAATTGGTGTAAACATTCTCCACAAACATTACTGAATTTGTCAGGAAATGATCAATGGTTGGTGACATCCACTCCTAGATCACCTACAACAAGTGATAATTATGTTAATGGTATAGTTTCTATTAATCTCAGTACTAAAATTGATAAAACAATTACTACTGATGTACAGATTAGTACAACAACAGCAACAACAAATCCTAACCTTAATTGTATAACATCTACAGACATTAATAATAAGGATACACTATTAAAATTGTATTCAGATTCTAGAACAAATCAAAAATTATCCTTAACAGGTAATAATATTGATTGTTATGGTACAAATGTAAATGGGACTGCTACAGATGTAAATATTAAATGTTTTCTGCCACCGCCTAATCATATCATATCATCATCATGTATTATAAATGATCATTCAATAAAACCCAATAATCTACCATTATCAATATCATCTTCATTATCGTCATCATCATCATCATCATCATCGCCACCTCCATCATCATCACCATCGTCCTATGACTGTACATTAACAGATTCTAAAATACTGTCTACTAATTTATGGTCTACAACATCTAATTTACTTAATAAACAATTGGGGAACGATAGTAATAATACATTTCCTACAATTCATGAATCATATCCTATTCAACCTTTAATGACATCTTATTTAAATAATTCTTTAAATATTGATTATCATCATAATATTCATCATCATCATTGTCAGGATCAGCAACATTCAACACTCAATAATAATGATAATAATAATAGCAAAATATCAAATTATATGCCAGATATTGACTCACGTCCCTATCATCATCTTCATAACATTAGCAGTCCTGAAGAGTCGTCCAGTGAAGCATGTCCAACTCTATCAAATGAAACAATAAATTATGATACTGAATTAAACAGTTATGAATCACTTCATTCAATTCAGTCATCTTGTATAAATAACATTAATCAATGTAATAATAATGAAAGAAATCCTCAAGTCAATGATTGTTCAACAGTTTTAGGTTCAGTAAACTTTACCTATTTGAATTCTGTGCCAACAAATTCAGTGTTACCAACAATGACTACATTTACAACGACATCGGCGACAACGACACTTACTACAACGGAACCAGGAGTATCATTATCGTCAGTGGTAACGTCAAAATGTATTTCAAATGATTTCATTAGTAAACATGAATCAAATACCATTAAAAACGTGTACTCATGAGAATAATCCTACAATATCGTCATCTATGTTGTTACATAATACTATGAATATGCCATTTCATAAAGTGTTAATGAAAAGCACCAGTGACAGTCGCGAACTAAATGGTCAAAATGATAATATTGGTAACGACGATGATATCGATGATGATGATTATGAGGAGGAGGAGGAGGAGGAGGAGGACGAAATAGAAGAGGAAGAAGATGGTGATGTGAATTTAAAACATAATCATTCGACTGACTTATCCGATTGCGAAAATGATGATGATAATGATGGTAACGATGATCTAGATGGTGAACATGTTATGAACCAAAGAGAGCGAAATACGACTAACAATACGAAATCCAAATTAAAAGATGAATTAACTAAAGATATCGATAATCGAAAAAAGAACAACGGAGGTAAGCTGTTTGTCAGGTTGTTTAAGTCAGTGGTTGGAAACACAATCTTATAAAGCTAAAATATATGTTTGATGGAAGCTTGAACTTAGGATTCAAATAAATTTATTTTTTAAAATATGGCTAGTCTTAGAATCTAGAACATTCATTTATTAACATTTGGAACTCATCAAATGTATGTTCTAGCATCTCAATGTTGATATTCTCTAACCTACTATGCGTTATTTACTACTGAGTCAAGATAGCTGTTGACTAAGTATATGTTCTAATAGAAATCTTCAAATTCAGTCCCTAATATAAACAGAAGTTTACAGTCAGTCACTTCGTAAGGTTTAGTTGTAATCTGATCTTATTTCAATGAATTCTATGTCCTATCATTCATTAAGAAAAAAAGACGAAAGGAAACTTAAAAGTTATGTATGTTAATTGTAACTAAAAAAAGCAGGACACTTTCACCTTTTGAATTACTTTCAATTTAATAATATATTAATTCACTGTTGTTATCATTACTTCATGTATCTCAGAAATCACCACAGTCTTCACGAAACCTCATCATGTGTTCACTAGTGACTAGCTTCAACATAAGTTTCCCAAAGTTCTAATGTGAAGCTGTGACCAGTGGAGTTCAACTAGGTCTGCTGTAAGGGGAGTTACCCACTGGAGATAATGATGGACGGTGGCTCATTTTCGCGGATTGGTTGGAGTTAGACATTAACACCGTTGGATACTGACTCAGTTTTCTAAAGGTTAAGTGTTCACGAGCGATACTAAATGTGTTGAGTTCGAATCCAGTGAACGGGATCGTGGACGTGCGTTGCTGAGGAGTCTCATACTAGAACGAAACAAGAAATATTCGATAATTAATATTTTTAATATTAATTTTTTATAGAATATATAATCGGTTTAGATATATAACTAATTATAACTGTTGTATTAGGTTAAATTTACAATGATTGGAAATAAAAGTTCATGTAAAATAGGTGCAACTGTTCATTGATCATAAACATTGTATTACATAATCATTAAAATATTGTAATAACTATTCCATAAAGATTAGTTCGATTAACTTGAATTTATATATTCATTTAACTATTAATTTAGTAACCATGGTAATGAATTCAAAATAATATACAGAATCTTCTTTTAAAATAAATACTTGAATATTTTACGGATACAGTGTTTGGTTAAATGTTATGTGTAATAAAAAAACAGAGACCATCGAAACTATGTGATGTATTAGCGTAATACATTTCGACTAATCTGATCATATATATATATATATATATATATATATATATATATATATATATGCTGAGGAGTCCCACAATAGGACGAAACGGCCGTCCAGTTTTTCCAGGTTTTCCATGGTGGTCTAGCTTCAACTGACTCATGATCTTAACCATTGATATATATATATATATATATATATATATATATATATATATATATATATATACTTGAATCTACCCTGATAATATTAGTTTATTGTCCAGAGTGGTAAAGTTTAAAATTGTTTTCACATTATTTTCTTTATTATCCTTGTATTCTCTTATCCTTCATTTCTAGTCTAGTTGACCATTTCTTTTTATATATAAATGTCCTTAACGAGTATATTATATGTGATCAGATTGTTCAAAATGTATTGCGCTTATATTATCACCACATAATACTGATCACCTTTGTCTTCATATTACACTATCGACATTTATCAAAAGGATTAATTACTTTTAATTTCTTAAAATAATATTCCTTGTATATGTTATTTCATTTGTTTTATTGTTAAAGTGATGGTAAATATTTCAAATGTTTTGTAATTGTTTCGTTCACCTGGTAAACATCTCATTGTCATTCAAGATCATAAGTATTGTTTTTTTTTAAACGGAACCAAAATGTATAATTACACTAATATAAAATAATAGATTATATAGCATAGAATCATTTTTTTAAGAAAAAAACAGATTGAAATGGAGTGAAACAATCTATGGAATATTTCTTTAAAAGTATCCACTTGATAATAAACTACTCATAAAAGACTAGAAATATGAAAGTTTTTTCAAAAATATGTATAATTAAGTCATTATTTCTTTCCCCTAGTGTACGCAATATCGAGTCATTTAGACTAGTGACCAACTTGGTCGATAGCATTCGATCTGTACTAAAAAGAACTTGATACACATGAAATTGATCACCACCCAGTGATCAACCAATTGTGATATAATATAATTTTTGATGATAAGTTATAAGTTATTTAAATAGATGTTATTAATCACTTAATCTCTTTTAATATGACTATTAAAATTCCTATTCAATGAGAATACTATTATTGCTCATAACAATTATAGTTACAGAAAGACTAATCTAAAAGTTGTTGGATTCAACAATTTATTTGTATCAGTATAGGATTATGAAAATTATTAAATGTTTGATTGAGGTCATGAACTGACTGATGTTAGACCACTATCAATGCTTCCAGGTTTTTAATGGTTGTCTAACATTAATCAGTTCATGATTTTAATCAAAAAAATTTATTTGTAGTAATCGAAATTACTATTCTAAAGAATATATGAAAATTGAAATATTACCCTAATAAATTTATCTTATCAGTATAGGGGTTGTGGAGATTATTAAGTTTTTGATTGAGATCATGAATCGATTAATGTTAGACCACCATGGAAAACCTGGAGGCAGTGGACGGCCGTTCTGTCCTATTGTCGGACTCCTCAGCAGTGCGCATCCAGGACCTCGCCCCCTGCGGTATTCGAACCCAGGACCAATTGGTTTCGCGCGCGAGCACTTAAACACTAGGCCACTGAGCTGGCATTCAGCGGTATTAATTTATAAGTTCAACTAATCCACGAAATTGAGTGACACATCCACCATTGTCTTCAGTGAGTTACTATCTCACAACAGACCTGGTTGAACTCCACTGGTCACTACTTGTCACTAGAACTCCAGAAAATACCTCTTGAATCCAGTCACTAGTGAGCATATGTTGATTAATATCAGATGGGTTTTGTGGATATTATAGTAATTTCAATGTTTAAGTGCTTCGAGATTTTCCATCGTGGTCTAGCTTCAACCATTGAAATTTCTATAATATCCACAAAACCCATCTGAATATAATTTTATTCTTTTAAAAGTTAATATTTATTCACTGATAGAGTTAAATTAATCAACTTTTAACTAATAGAGTATATTAGAATTAAAATATTATTAACGGTGAGATTATAATTTATGGACAACCTTTGAGTAACGCTGAAATGACCTTGAGAATAGATATCTACTGATTATAATTAAATAAAGGTTATAAACCAGTTAGGATTATGTTTTACAGTTGATGATTAGAGTTAGAGTTTTCATCACCAACTGATATCAGCTACAATGCTAAAACTCTAATTAGCCAAATGTATGAATGGATTTCACACCAAAATACATAACTCTTTATCTTGTATCTGATTGGTTCATCTATGAATTATAGACTCGCCTTATTAAGAATAATAGATCTAAAGGGGTTTCGTGGAGATTTTAGTAATTTCAATAGTTGAGATCATGAGTCAATTGAAGCTAGACCACCGTGAAAAATCTGGAAGCACTGGATGGCCGTTTCGTCCAGTGATCTATTTAATATTTTAATGTAGTAATCATACTAACTAACTTATCATGTTTATTTGATTTTCCCATATTATTTTAAAATCCAATGTAAAATGATTGGTTGGATGTATGATGATCATTCCATTATGGTGTTATCATTGGAGTATCATTAAAAAATTAAGAAATATTAAACTTATTATAGACTAGGGATTCTAAATAACACTTAATTTGTTTGTATTCGTTTTTCAGGTAATATCACTTTAGGATAAGGTATACCATTGAATAATACAGCATCTCTACCCGAGTAAATAATAATAGTAATATATGTTTTATGAATGTAGACTAGAGTTTGGGATTCGTTTAAAACATCATAATAGACATTAATAAAGTGAAAAATGAGTTATGTGTAGGGTTTATATGAGCTAAGGAAAAACCATCAAGTCAGTTTAAACTGTAGAGCCTGATGATGAAGTTATTGAAAACAATTGTTCGCTCAAATATTCTTCAGTTTAAATTATTTATCTTTTAAACCTCTTATTACAATAAGTAAAATACAAAAAGCGCTTAAAAATATACCACTTAATTATTTTTTATAAAATATAATAATTATTCCTGAAGTAAGTAACTCATAGAATTACCATAACCATAATTAAAAAGGTACAAGTATTTCTAAATAATTGTTTACGCTGTTGATCGGATACTATCAGCAACAGCCTATTATGGGCGAGAACAAACCAGTTTCCAGCTAAGGAGGAAATTCGGAAAAAACGCTGGAAGTAGATAGGACACACATTGATGAAACTATCAAACTGCATCACGAGGCAAGCGCTAACTTTAAATCTTGAAGGAAAACGGAAAAGAGGAAGGTCGAAGAACACACTGAGTCGAGAATTGGAAGCTGACATGAATAGGATGAATAACAAATAGAAAGGACTGGAAAGGATTGCCCAAGACTCAGTTGGATGGAGAATACTGGTGAGTGACCGATGCCCTTCCATGAGAGGTTACAGGCGTCAGTAAATATGAGTAACTCACGTTGGATGTTGATAACCTTAGAATAAATAACCACAGATTTAACATTTCGAAATACTAACTAAAAAACATCAGAGAGTCAAATGAGTGGTCATAAATATTTTTTTATTATTTTAACATAACACATGTTGTAGTGAAGAAGAACATAGGCAGGGAAAACCAAATGCACTTTAATGCAAAATTACAGAATCTCTAACCAAATTCTGAAAAACATACAGTAAATAATTCATCTGTATAATGTCAATCAATTGTCTCAGACTTCATTGTTCGTTCTTTCTCATATCAATCATTTTTTGTTCTCGTTCTTTTTCTTTTGATCTTCTTAACTTTCTACCGCCAGACATTTCACTTTCGATTGTTGATGTATACTACTTATATCTGTCGACATCAGTAGCCCACACCACAATATGATTATACTAGTAGAATGCAAGATTATAATATGAATTAGTTTATAAATACTAATATAGTACATAGCCAGGACATTATCAATACAATATAGAATAATACATTTTTAGTTAATTACTTCAGAATTTATAAATAATAAAAGATATTGCATTAATTCATGAATGCAAAACGTGGCTTATAATTGTCAGAACAATGCAGATAATAATAATAATAATAATATAAAGAATAATGACCTGTGATATTTAAAAAAACATAATTACATAATGAATTCAAATTAATTACATGAAAGAGTTTGGTTGGAGGTTATATGGAAGACATATTTTGAGATAGTGGATAAGATTTGTAACTCAGGTGGATGATTTTGATCAAGTTTTTTCCGTATGCTGGATGATTTGGCTGTGAAGTTTCCATCATTCTCTTGAACGACGTCATCAGCACAAACATCAGGTAGAAGTTGTGCTGATGATTGTAAGCAGCTGACGAGAACAAAATGAACATAATGAAATATTAATAATCTCAACAACCCCTATACTGGTTATTAACATGTGTTCACTAGTGACTAGC